TCACATGTTAACTCATTCAATCAACCACAAAAGGGAAGTAGCTGACATGAGAGTTTATTGTCAGTTTTAATTTACGTGCCTGGCTCATCTAAGAAATCCATGTATTCTTAAGCTAGCAATCCTTAGAAAACTGCTTGAAGGAAATTTTATATAGTAGTCACAATACTTTGTGTGTATGTGCGTGTGTATCTTCAGCAGAGAAAGCAGACATTGTTCTCAATTTCATAATGTCAGAGTGAAAGAAAGACCATGTCATTATTTGGACTTGGTAAAATCTACATGTAAATCCTGTTATTACCTTACTTTCCCATCACATTGGCTTCAACAAAAGAAGTTAAATGCACTCCTTTTCAGGAAACGTATGAATGTTCTATTTAATAAGTATTCAGATGTTTTTTGAGCACTTGTCTCACAGAGCATTTGTTTAAAATTAGGTAATTCATGTGTAGCTAGCCAGCATCTGCTTTCTGACTTAAGGCTTGTCAGCCTTTGCTGGAAGAAAGTTGGTCTTGATTGACATTGCAGGTGTGATTAACTTACATGCTGCATATAAAGTAAGTTTAAAAGTGTGGCCCTAGCCAGTTTGGCTCAATGGTTAGAACGTTGGCCTGTGGACTGAAGGGTTCCAGGTTCGATTCCAGTCCAGGGCACATGCCCGGGTTGCAGTCTCCATTCCCATGTGGGAGGTACAGGAGGTAGCTGATCAATGATTCTCATCATTTGATGTTTCTCTCCCTCTCCCTCTCTGACATCAATAAAAATATATTTAATAAATAAAAATAAAAGTGGATGTGAGTGTGTATAAAGCTCATCAATTTCATAGGCCTTACCATAGGTGTTGCTTAGATATTGAGCTGCACAGGAATAAGAGGCCACAAGATGGCAAGCTAACACTGGAAATGGGTGTATAGCTAAGTTCTGGACATTGGAAGAGAAATTACCTTTCCATTTTTTTATTTCTATTCTATAGAGATGTGGGCTAATAATGTGGTCATCTGTATTTTTGAATACTTAAAATATACTAGCTGAACAGTTACTGAAGTATAGTTTTAAAAATCGGGAGATGACTAGACGACTGTTTATAATGGATACAGGCTAAAGCCACTTTGTATGGATTATAGGTATTTTTAACTTTTTCCGAAGCACCAGTCAAAAGTCTTGTTTTGTTTTGACTAAACGGTAGTCACTCTACTACCTCTACATGCAAAGGAGACTTGGAAATGTGCCTTTGCTCAGGTGGACATATTGCCACCTCCAACAAAATCAGTTAGTACCTAGTTGTCTAATACGGTTTTTAAAAATGGGTGTGACACAGTTAATCATTACATGGGATACCAGTATTTCAAATATATTTGAAACAATTTTATACAGGAAATCTCTGGAAGATTCGATTTGGAGTTTTAAAAAAATGAAATCTTGCTGTTACTTTGTGTAACATTAGGCAAGTTGCTATATCATTTTGAGTTGTAGTCTTCTGATTTGTAAGTATTGTAAAGATTTCTTCCAATTTCAGAATGCTATGACTTTTTAGTTTGCACAACATAGTTTTGCTGTAAGATTTATGAAGATGTTAATTATTGCTGCACATCTACTGCGGGTGAACTCTGAAGGTATGATGAAGGATGTGGCTCTTGCCTGCATGTAAGATGTTCATAATTTAGATTGGGATACAAGTGTATAAGCCAATAATATAGGGGCAAGTGATATAATGAAGCCATTTTGTGAATTATAATATCTGACATTTTAAATAACCTTTATGTGCCAGGGTTTTGCGTGGATCATCTCATATACTCTCTTTAACAACCCTATGTGATAGGTATTATTTATCTCCATTTTATATCAAAAGTTTGCTCTCTGGTAGAAATATTTGATCCAAGCCTTGAAATGAAATTAGAATTTCTCAAGGTGGAGAAAAGAATGAAATCATACATAAGTACCTTACATATCACTATAATGTCATGATTTTAAAGAAGATAAATCTTACTATAACCAGTTCTGTGGAACTGCCTAAAGTGTTCATTGTAATGAGGTATGTTGCTATTTATGTACATGAAATTTTTTTTAAGGTGATTCTCTATTAAACAGATCTTCCTGTGGTATCAGGTTATATAGTGCTATAGCCAATACAAAGTCTCATTTTGCCATTACCCAATATATATGTTCTAGTTATGAAAACCATAGGATGTTGAAGAGCTAAAAGGAAATTTGGAGGTCATCAAGCTATACCTCCCATATAAATCCAGGATTTTTGTTATTGTTGTTAATCCTCACCCAAGGATATTTTTCCATTGATCTTTTAGAGAGTGGAAGAGAGAGGGAAAGACAGAGAGAAACAACAATGTGAGAAAAACACGTTGCGAGGAGCCTGTAACCAAGGTACATGCCCTTGACCGGAATCGAACCCAGGATCCATTGGTCCATGGGCCGACACTCTATCCACTGAGCCAAACCAGTTAGGGCTAAATCCAGGAATATTCTTAATTTCCTCTTTCAGTGTTAGGGATCTACTACATCAGGCAATCATTTTGTTGTGAGGCAGTTCAGTTTAACATTTCTGTATTAGGGAAGCATCTTTATCTCTGATTTTCAGCTATTGGTTCTAGTTCTGAAGCCTTGGGAATTGATAAGCTGTTTGTCTTTCAAGTGTTGGGAAAATCATTCCCTATAGTCTGCACACAAACATCTACTAACACAGGATTAAGTTAATTTTTTCCCAATAGTTTCCTACTATGCTTTTTCATGTGAAAATGACAGACAGCTAAAACTCAGGGATTTATTTATGTCATGAACTAATATCAATCCTAGTCTCATATTAAGATTTTAAATCTTGATGCAGAATGATTACTGGTTCCATTTCACCTGAATTCTACTGAGATTTTTAATCCTGTTTTGTTTCGGCACCCAACATACTTGTCATTTATTTTGTCTTTAGTAGATATGGCTTCTGTGTCTTCTGAATCACTAATGTGAATGTAGTCAGGAACTGGTTTTGGCCACAAGTAAGAGACTAATGAGAGAGTGGGGGGGTGCGGGGTAGGGGGGAGAGAGAGGAAGAGAGAAACAAGGAAAAGACACCGGGTGAAAGTTAAGGTTTCTTATAATGAAAACAAAACCGTGAAGATAGGTGGTTCAGGCTGATAGGGCAATTTCATCATGGCTTCAATGTCCCAGAAGTTTTTTGCTCCATCCAGGTCTAGCTTCCATCCTCAAAATCACTTCGTGGTAGAAAGATGTTCACTGCAGTTCTAGCTATGATGTCTCAGGCAGGAAGGAGTGGGGGAGTGAAAAGATGCATGCAAGCTAGGTCAGCCTCCCTTTTATTTTTTCTCAGAGAATACTGTCAATCTGGTAGTTTTGATAGGGTAATTACATCATTGCCTACATGCAAAGGAGATTTGGAAACCTGCTTTTTAGCTGGCACATTGCCATCCCCAACAAAATCAGAATTCTCTTAGGTGAAAAGGAGTAAATACTGGGTAGACAAAAGATGGGAAGAGGCAACAGGGACAAAAATATTAGAAGGATTGAGTTTTTAAGTACAGAGACCTAAGTTGTGGGGATACAAGGATACAAAGAGGTGAATAAGATAAAATCTTTGACCTAGCTACAGTCAGTAGTCTTTAATGTCACCAAACTAATGTAATTAGAGGCAATCTTCTCTAAGAAGATTGGCTTTTCACATTTGCTAATCTTTCACAGAAAGATCTCAAATTACTGCATTTACTTCCTTTGAGGTAAATGATAAATGCTTTATCAATGAAACGACTTGCTAACCTAGTGGTTAATACTTTTTTTAGTAGTGGGGTTAATGATCATCAATTTAGTTAATGACATTTTTGTAGCAAAAATTTGGAAATTGTATTGCTTAATATTTGTCTCATCTTGACCCAATCTATTGCACAGTGACTTTTGCTGAAGGATAGGAATCTGGAGTCCACTTCTTCAACTTCCTATTATTCTGTACAAACAAGTGGGTTCATCTCCAATTCTATGCCATTCTGTCTATTTCTGCTCTGATTGGAGGCCCATAGCACACAATTTTCCATTCTAGAGGGAGGGGAGATGTATTAATAAATTGCAGGCAAGCTGTGACATTGTATGATAACATTGTGAATCCCTGATCATAAAAGGTCCAATAATATGGAAATGTATAACGTATTTTCAAGTTCTATGGTTAGAAGTGTTAAATCAAATGGGCATATTCTTTTTCTGGATCCTCCCCCACTCCCTATAAATGTGCTTTTTCTGTGGGACCTGCCGTCCATCATGACTCTAGGGCAGTGGTTCTCAACCTGTGGGTTGCGACCCCTTTGGTGGTCAAATGACCCTTTCACAGGGGTCGCCTAAGACCATCCTGCATATCAGATATTTACATTATGATTTATAACAGTAGCAACATTACAGTTATGAAGTAGCAACGAAAATAATTTTATGGTTGGGGTCACAACATGAGGAACTGTTTTTAAAGGGCCAGAAGGTTGAAAACCACTGCTCTAGGGTGACCCTTTCCGATGTCCAGGGACACCTAAACTGCAGAGTCGTGGGCTCTGTGGTCTTTTCCCCAGGCTGGGCCTTCTTGCTTAAATAGGCTCCTGTGCCCCTAGTTAGCAGCCACCCCGCCCTCCCCAGCCTTTCTCTGGGAGGATTGGGTGGGGCTGCGTGAGTGGAGCTGTGGCTGCTGCTTTGGAAAGCTTGCCGGTGCCTCAACTGCACCTTGGAGGACATCACGTTTGTCAGAAGTGTCACTTATACTTTCCACTTGACAGACCGAAGCACTTAGAAGGATGCTGTTAGCTGGGTTTCTTCAGACTAATTGGCAATTAACTATTCAAAAACAATTCATGAACCCTGCAGCAAAACAACGAGACCTCTGTTTGGTGTACGTAATCGAGCACATACTGAAAATTTTATTAATTCCTCCCAAATTACATGAAGGCTGATACGCTTTGTTTCCCATCCCAGCCTAGTTCTTGCTTAGGATGGATGCAGGTTTTCTTTGTTTAATCTTCTAGTGTGTTGCAAAGTAGCTTTGTTTCACTTTCCCGAGTTGTGCTTATGGCAGAGGCTGAATGGTGATTCTGGAGTAGCGGAGGGGCCCCTACCTCACCACATTCAACATATCTGAGGTTGGGGCACTCACACACTGAGAACTTGGGTCTTTTAAAGAGTATTTTTGGAGGCAGCACTTAAGAAGGCACTTGAGAATCAAAAAGCTCAGTTCAGTGAAATTCAACACAATACACAGGCATGAGGTAACCACCATGAAGAGGATGAAGATGGTTTTCTCGGTGGGTCTGGACATGAAGCAGTCCACAGTGTTGGGACAAGGCTTCAGATCACACTTCATAAGGTAAGGAACACTGAAGCCATCATACAGCTTGTAAAATAAAACCAAGAAGCCAATTTCAAAACCAAGTTTAACAATGAGGCTGATAAGGTAAGTGTACCACAGGCCCCCATCCATCGTACCTAGGCTAACATATAGTTTCTTTCTGTGCCTTTTCTCTCTACCCTCACGATAGGCTACATGTAGAACCACCAGAAGTGAAGGCGTGGAGACCATGATCAGTTGTAAGGCCCAAAGTCTGACCTGGGAGATGGGGAAGAAGTAGTCAAAACACACGTTTTCACAACCAGGCTGTCTAATGTTGCACTCAAACTCTTTCTGCTCATCTTTCCACACATGCTCTGCTGCCACCATGTAGACCAGCAAACGGAAGATGAACACAACAGCCAGCCAAATCCGCCCAATCCCAGTTGAGTGTTTATTTACTCCACTTAGGAGGTCTCTGAGGAATATCCAACTCATAGCGTAGGCTCAAAAGAAGACAAGATTCTGAAAAAGAAAATTTCATCATGATTCATTTATTTTTATTCTACTGATCATTTATTTCTACTGTCTTACCTGATTATGGAATTGTGGGAAGTAAACTCAAACTTCTGCATTACAACAACTTTGGATGTTGAGGGCTCCCTAAGAATCCCTAAGGATATGCTCTCATACAAGGGGATGACATAACTGACCCACATTTGTAACTGATCCCATGCCCAGTTTAATTGGGAATATGGTTGATCATCCCACACATACTACCTGCTTTCAAACAAATCCTTTTAGTTGATTGCTTCTCTCTAAGAATGGGTTCTGTGGCTGACCTGGAAAGAATTGGATATAAATCTCTAGGTTACCTTGGTACTTTGAGATGTCTCTTGCATGCCAGCTTCTTGAAGTTGTTGTCTCTACTCACTTTCCCTAATTTGTCAAAGTACTTCCCCAACCCTTAAAGGTTATTCCCTGCCCCTACTTCCCCTCATGTTCTGACAGAGCTCACCTAGTGAATATCAACTTTCTCAGACCCATGCTTCCTCATCCCTCCAGACCTATTTACATCCATGCCCAACTTATCTTCTTTACCGAGTTTGGAGGGAGAGGTCAGTCTCCTCTTGCCTCAAAATGATCATTCCAGCTCTTCATCCATTATTGATCTGTCCACTTTCCCTGCCCTTTGATTTCCTTAGCTGGTTGACTATCATTACCAACAACCAAGCACCCAAGTCAGGAATCTCATAACCATTCTAGACTCCTCTCATGACCCTTTTTTAATTGCTCACCAAGTTCTGATTCTTCCTAGTTATTTCTCAAATTTATCTCCAAGTCACTGCTGAAATCTTTCTGATCTGTACAGCCCTGTGCTTCTCTCCATCTGTTTTGCTTTTATTCCCTATAAAAAGCCTTTTTCATTTCAGTCACATTTACTTTCTGGCACTCTCTGCTTCTGTCTTGTTCATAATTGAACTTGTGGGCTGGGCCCTGGTTTGTGTTTGTTGGGCCCATCATATGCTCAGCGCTGTCTGTCCAGTGCTTTTGAGTTGGTTTCTCCCAACCACTCTAGAAAGTGGGGTTTGTTTATGGTGGTGTTGGTTTTGGTTGTTAATATTTTTCAGATGAGAAAGCAGACTCTGAAAAATGCTGCTTTCCCAAGGTCACACAATAAGGTGCAGAGCAGGGTTCAAATCCAATCTCCATTATTTTCAGTTACAGGTGCAAGAAATGTATTAGGTAAAATGCCTGTGAAAGAGAACAGGGAGGAAGCTGGGAAAGGCTTGGAAAACCATCAGACCATGATGCAAGTCTGACCCCAGGAAAGGAAGAAATGAAGGTTGGGTAGAAGTGACAGACTGCAATGCAATCTTTTTTTTTTTATTATTTTTCAACCACAGTCCACCTTCAGCATTATTCCACATTGGTTTCAGGTGTACAGCACTGTGGCCAGACAATCACATACCTCACAAAGTAATTTTCATTATTTTAAAACAGGGTTTCTCAACAGTTGCACCATTGATATTTTGGGCTGGAAATTTCATTCTAGCAGCTGTCCTGTGCATTGTGGAGGGTTGAGCAGAATTCCTGGCCTCTGCCACCTCCTGTTCCCACTGTGACAACCAAAAATGTCTCTAGACATTTCCAAATGTACCCTGGAGAAATGAGGCAAAATCTCTGCAGTTGAAAACTGCTGCTCTTAACTTGCTACTATAATCAGACGATGTGTGTTAGAGCTCCTGGTCTGCCACTAACACACTCTGTTATGTCTCAGGTGAAAATCTTGCCATTTCAGGTCCTGTTTCCTATTACAGAAATAATTACATCTTACTTTCTTCATAGACTCAGCCAAAAGAGTACCATGGAAATGATGCTGTGAAGGGAACGTGGGGGTTAAGAAATTTGGGGTATTGTTATAACAGCACACCTGTTGGAGCACATCACATTATCTCCTGAGGGAACAATAAGTAGCAGCCCACACGCTACAGCCCCAAGGAGATGTATGAAGGTTAAGAGCTGTTTTCAGAGAAAACAAAGGTACATGTACACAATGCTCTATTCAGTAGGGAATTAATACTCGAATGTCCTTGGTTTCAGAACACAAACAAAATTGTATTAAATAAAAAGGATTCTCAAATCCACCTGAAAGGTTAATGTCTCCGTGAATTATTAAAACAAAGCCCCAAAGGTTACAAAGGAATAAAAAAGTATTATGTTTCCTCATGGCGTGTCATTGGGCATTTGTCCATATTACTCAAGTGGATATTTATGTAATGTTCCAAAACATTTGAAAGTACTCTGTTGGGCATGTTAGAAAAGGGAGGACGGTAAGAGTGGATACAGACTATTCTGCTAAAAGAAAAGCAGTTAAAAAAAAATATTTGAACAAAATCCAAAGGTTGATATTGTTAAATGTGTCAGGATTATGAGTTTCATTGGACTGATAAATGTCCAACCTATTTTGAAATTCTCTGCTGAAGAGGCAATGGTTTTTCTCAGGGGGGAGGGGTGTTCTAATGTCAGCTCACTTTTAACAGCTGTTTAGCATAAGTGAAATAAGCCTGGGCACAGGGTTGAACTCCTTGGGTTCAAGTCCACGTTCATCTGTGATAATAGTACCTACCTCCTGGGCCTCAAAACAGAGTCTGACACTGTGTCTGTGGGTGCTCAATAAGCAATATGTGCTTTTTTTCATTAAAACCTTCCTTGATGTCAAAGTAAAGTCTTTTCAATTGCAAGTTAAATTTGTGGGGTTTTTTTCTCTAGCTCTGTTCCTGTGAAGGTGAAAAATAGGAATCTCTATTTAATAGCCTGTTAAGCATTTGAAAGCAGTAAGTGAAGTCATTAGCTCAAATATTTTTGTATTTTAATGCACAAGATATTTTTTTTTTTATTAAGGTATTACAAATGTGTCCTCATCCCCCCCATTAACCCCCAACCTCCCCCCCACACACAAACTCATGCTCCCATCCCCCTGTTGTCCATGTCCATTGGTATGGCTTATATACATGTATACAAGTCCTTCGGTTGATCTCTTCCCCTTACCCCCGCCCTCCCCTACTTTCCTTCTGGGGATTGATAGCCTGATTGCTGTTTCTCAGTCTTTGGGTCTGTCCCTTTTCATCAGTCTATGTTGTTCTCTATAATCCACAAATGAGTGAGATCATGTGGTATTTATCTTTCTCTGAATGCACAAGATATTTTAATAAAGATCTTTAGTTTTCCCTTTCATTAAATCATCAAGGATTACTCCCAATTTTTAAAAGAGTTTCCACTTACCAGTTCTAGTGAAGCAATTCTATGATTTTCTCCTCTTAAGAAGTAGCAGTTTACTGCCCAGGAATTCAATCTGGAAAATTCGGTTAATCAAATACTTTCAGAAAGTAAACATTCAATTCTTGATATCAGGAATAATTTTGGAAAGTTGCAAAATTCCCCCAAACATTTTATGTAAATTAAAAGTAGGGGTGAGAAGCCGGTGCTGGGACAAGCAGATTTTCACATGCAAAAAAATAAAGTTGGATTCCTACCTCACCATTTAAAAAAATTTCAACTCAAAAATGGATCAATAATCTAAATATAAGAGCTAAAACCATAAAAGTTTTCAAAGAACACATAGTGGTAAATATTTATGATCTTGGATTTGGTAAAGGATTCTTAGATATGACACCAAAAGCGTGAGCAACAACAACATATAGATAAATTGGACTTCATAAAAAACTTTTGTTCTGCCCTGAGAAGTGTTACTAAGTGGTTAGAGCATTGGCCTGCACACGGAAGGGTCCTGGGTTCAACTGGGTTGCAGGTTCAATTCCCAGCCCCAGTCAGGGCATGTTCTGGAGGCAACCAATCGACATGTCTCTCTCACAACAGTGCTTCTCTCTCCCCCACCCCCGCCCGCCTGCCCTTCCCTCCTCCCTCCTTTCCACTGTCTCTGAAAAGCAATTGGAAAAAACAACAATATCCTCAGGTGAGGATTAATAACAACAATAAAACTTGTTCATCAAAGAACATTATCAGGAAAGTAAAAAACAGCAACCTACAAAATGAGAAAAAATATTTAAGTCATATATCTGGTAAGGGCTTAATATTTAGAATATATTTTAAAATGGCTAAAACTCAATTACAAAAAGACAACTCAATTTAAAAATGGGCAAAACCTGGATAAACATTTCTCCAAAGAAAATATGCAAATGACCAGTCCACCCAGGAAAAGATCCAACATCATTAGTCACTATGGAAATGAAATCAAAACTGCATGAGATACCATTTCACACTTACTAGGATGGGTATAATCTTTTTTTTTTTTTTAATATATTTCATTGATTTTTTTACAGAGAGGAAGGGAGAGAGATAGTTAGAAACATCGATGGGAGAGAAACATCGATCAGCCGCCTCCTGCACATCTCCCACTGGGGATGTGCCTGCAACCCAGGTACATGCCCTTGACTGGAATCGAACCTGGGACCCTTCAGTCCGCAGGCCGACGCTCTATCCACTGAGCCAAACCGGTTTCGGCGGGATGGGTATAATCTTTAAAAGGTAAACTAACAAGTGTGGGCAAGGATGGTGGAGAAATTGGAATCCTGTACAAAACTGGTGGAAATGTAAAATGGTGCTGCCACTGTGAAAAACAATTTGGCGGTTCCTCAAAAAGCTAAACATAGAATTACCTTATGACCCAGCAATTCCACTTCTGGATAAATATCAAAAAATGTTTTTTGAAAACAGGCTCTCAAAGAGATATTTGTATGCCAAGATTTATTACAGCATTATTTCCAGTAGCCAACAGGTAAACACGACTTGTTACATCAACAGATGAATGGATAAACAAAATTATTCAGTCAGAAAAAGGAAGTTCTGCTACATGCTACAGCAAGTATGAATCTTAAAGAAGACATTATGGTAAGTGAAATAAGACACAAAAGGATAACTATTGTATGATTCCACTTATATGAAGTATCTAGCAAACTCCTAGAGCTAGAAACTAG